TTTTGTACTACTCGAAACTCAGGCGGACGAAATTAGAAAATGCTTTAACAAGGTACTCCGCTTTTTTTGTCGTGTGTAAAACTGCCAAGCCGTGCTATATCACGCAGTGTTCCAGCACTGCTTCGTTCTTTGATAGTTTTACACCACGATGAGATGCTTGGGTCGAAGCTTCTAGTTTTGAAAATTTATTAAACTTTCTGTTCTCCCATGAGATAGTGGATGAGGCCAAGACAAAACTAGCTGGCTTGTCAAACTGATATGCTTTGGAGACACAACTGAACTCAAGAGCAACAACAACAATAAAAAAAGATACTGCCTACCTAGCCAGTTTTTCACAGAAAACTCCTTTATTTATAAGAAGCTGCATCATATCACCACCGGGCACATATTCCATTATCAGATATAGTGACTGTTCATCCTGGAAACGTCTCCTGGATAACTTTCATAGTTCGTTTCAGAGAACGCACAAATTCGCAAATTCTCCAAAAATAGTTTTAAAAAGGCAAAGCATGCTTCTGAATTCACGGGGCAACACGTCAGCAGGTGTTTAGTCATTCAGTGGTGAGGGTATTCACATCTGAAGCCTCACGATAAGTTTTTGTAGTTTCGGAATTAAATTGTCCAAACGCACGCACATGTAATACACATATGCATATGACGAGTGGCCTTACCATAAGGCAGTAAAGCAAAATGCTGAAAAGTAAACCTGGAACGAAAAATACAGTTTAACGATCCATTTACTATCCGCTTCTGCTAGAATGTCTCGTTCAGCCTTCACATGTGCTGCCTGTTGCTTCATAATCACATCTTTCTTCAGCAACTTCTTCATCGCATACACTTGACCGGTATCCTTCTAAACAAACTATAATAAATGCAAAAGCTGCAATTCATAAAAAATTAAATAAAAAAGAAACGAAAACAGTAGTGTCGTGTTCAAACAGAAATCATACTGAAACAACCTTAAAATTTATTCGCAAAATAATGAAACATAAAAAGCGCCAATTCCATTACCATTGAAAGCATGCCTTTTTGTGAAAGCATAGTTTCTGATTCGCAGTTAAAAAGGTGTCATACACTTTTGCAATTTAAACTTTCGTGTTTAGGTTTATAAGACATAAGGGGATATGAAAACCAATTTAAAATTTTTCGGGACTGAAAGGAGAAAGGAACCATTTTATCATAAAAATTCTACTTTTTGTCTTCTCTTGTTCCTGAATTAAAAAGATGCCAGAATTCCTACAGTCTCAATTTTCCTTTTCCTTATGTGAAAAATAGGCGTATTCTGGAAATTGATAATTTGCTTAAGTGTTAAGGAAACATCCTAGTACCATTTCAGCCTTCATGACTCACGAGCTGTTGAGCTGCAAAAACAGGACAAATGCAAGAATACACAGACACTGTAGAATCTTGCATGCAAAAGCCCACGAAGACAGAACGTATTTCTCTTCCCACAGAAATGAAGTTGTTTGGAGCGGCGTGCCAATCAAAACCAATGTTTTTTTTTTTTCAATATTTTTGGCAGATACCTTCCCCATGGATTGCTTTAAAGCAAAGTGTTGACGGTTTTGATTCCCTGACGCGTGCTAGTCTCAATTTAACACTGAGACGAGTGAACGGATCGCAAATAGGTTGAATTTCCACTTCCTCTGCAACCCGTCCACTCGATTTTTGGCCTAGGAACAGAGCTGTCTACCAATATAATATACCCGTGAGGAATTTACCGAGGGAAAAAATTTGGCATTTCTTTTCCAAAATATCTTATAAATCTCTAAAACAAGCAAATGGACAACGAAGTACGAAGCTTTCGGCAGGCAGAACACCTCGGAATTTCTTCTGGTCACTGTGAGCCCAGTTACTGCATTCACTTATCCAACTGTTTGTATGCTTTTACGATGCGCCTTGAGATTCAACATAGATTTGGTCGTTTGTCATCAGCCTGTAGCAGTATGCGGCAGCACCCCATCACAATCTAATGCTTTCACAATTGCACATGAGGCGGCAGGAATACTGGATGTACTGCTTACATTAATGGTTTCATCTGATTTATGCACAAATTTATGTCCTATCTGCTAGTTATATAGCACTACTTCATTACAAAAGAGAACCAGCAAACCTTTTTGACAAGGGAGACGCGCCCAAATGCTCCAAAACCAATATGCTTCACAACTTCAAACATATTCTTGTTCATTTTTTGCCTTTTC